CAAAAGTTGGGCACGTTTTCACCAAAATTGAGGGGACAAATTTCATAGACTACATAAACCTGGCGAGAATCACCGAAAAGAAAGCCCCTCAACTCACATCATCGATGACCACCTTTGTTAATAGTACTAACAAGCCTTGATTGCAGATCCATTCTCTTTGTAGGAGACTTATCGAATACGAATGAACTCCGGACCAAATGACTTTATAATCGGGTTTCAGTGAATCTCTTGAGGTAACATTTTGGTGTAGACTTTAATTTAGTTTAAAAGTGCATGATGAAGAGATTCTTAAGTGGATCTTACCAGAAGATGACAGATGTTTCTCGTTATTCTGCAGCCGCTTGGTTTTAATACACTGTTCAAGTTGACGAAGTCCACAAAACATCCTCCTTCGTTTGGGGTGAAAATGAACTGAGCTTTCGTCTCCTAAGCCACTTGACGGACATATTCAGAGCTGGAACTAATTCTTGATTCAGTCTTAATTTGAAGCTTTTTTAAGAATGGTTTTCAGCTATGATGATGTCTGTCATATGGTATGATGGATAAAAGCTAAGTCCGATATCCCTTGAAATGAAGGAGGATGTTTCGTAGAATGCGTCAGCATAAACGTATTGGTAGAGCCAAACGGCTGCAGAAGCAGGGGGATCAGCCGTCGTCTTCCTGTGAGATCGACCTATTAATCCCTTCATCATACACTTTACTACCAAATGCAAGTCTCCACAACAATCTATCTTTCTCGGGGGTCCCAAGGAATAGAAAAGTGAGTCATGTGTGAGGACATTTAAGTAGGATAGAACTTCTAGTTCATCATCATCATCATAATCAATAATACTCACTTCCGGTCCCAGGCGATGCTATACTTTTATATCAGTCCACATATTTCCTGACCTCCAACAACCCCTTACCACTGGCTCAATCTGCCCAATTTTCGGTCCATCCTTCATTTTCTGCTCATCATACAGATTAACTTAGTGCGCTCGTGCCATGAATCCCCAGCAATGGCCCTGCTTTCAGGCTATTATCAGTTGAGCGTAGACTTTAGAATGACTCGGAATGCGGCTGTGACTGTGACTAAAGAGGTGATCATCGAATTAAGCGATCGAGATTATCAGTCCCCGGACGTCTGCTTCTGGTTCTGTCTTTCTTCCTCCCCTTTGCCTCAAACTCATTCGTGTCCATCCCTTCGACCTCTCGGCATGTCCATCTGTTCGGAAAGCCTGGATCGTGGGCCTAGGTTCCACAGCACCGGACACAGCCGTCAAGATCAGATTACGCTCAACCATGGGATGCAAGTCACATCTCTCTCCATGTGCGCGGCTGATTCTCAGGTGCATGTGCATTTATGGGTTTGTATGTGTACATCTATTGGTGTATGCATGTGTGGACGTGAGCGTATGCGTGTGCGGTTCTCTCTGTTTTTATCTAGGTCTTGTTCGGACGTGAGTATGGGTGCAGTCGTGCTGGCTAGGCCTCCATTTGCTCACGCTTAAATTGTCCTGACCAGGGCTGGCACGAGTGGTTAAGGAAAGTAGGAAAGCCTGGGTTGAGTGACCAAGTGGACAGGCTTTGTGGAGTGAGGGCAGGATAGAGTGCGAGAAGTGTAGACAAGCGTTGTGTAGAGAACCATGTCCCTTAGTCGCTGGCATACCTTGCGACAGGTGAACAGGTTATTTGGGTAATTACCCTTTGCCCAACCTTTGGTTATCTTACCCTCACTATCACACCCCATCAATTTCTCTTTTAGCCTTGCATCCTAGTCCCCATCTCTATTCATACCTGCTTCCGACCCCCTTTTTCCGCTTTCATGAACCCCCAATTGTATTCAGTTTATCGTCTCTATTGCCCGTTCCCGGACTCGCCCGAGTACTTCCGTTTTAGTCGTGTTTGCAAGAAGTTTATCTGTGGTTTTGTCATTCATATAGGAGAAAGTGATTCAAGGCTTTTTTGCTTGCTTTAATTGACCCGACTGATAGCATAGTAACAATCAGGTAGATTGGTCATCCAAACGGGAGGGAATCAAACGGCCAGTTTGCCGGCACAGCCCTAGACCAGGACGGGGCAGACGGCTTTGGGTTTATTTAGGCTCCGTTCCAGTTTGCTTCAATGTCTTGTATGCAGTAAGACTGGCCTCATCTAGAGCCCAATAAGTTACCGTGGCACATTATGAG